GTTTTGCTAGTATTTATGTGTATTTAAATGTCTGAAACCTAAAATAAGCATTATATGGTTGAAAACACTGAATATTTGTGATAATATGACAAGTGCTCAGCGCCAGCCAAAGCAGATTTAAATTCAGCAGTTGATGACGTGAGGAAACGAATATCCTCAGCATGATTGCCGGAAAGTGTGAGTGTTACAAGCTTAGTAGCATGGGTAATACTGGTGAGAAGGGTGCCGCAAAGTGTTCTGGCCAATATAGGCTCGGCCAGGGCAACAGACGAAAGTCCCAAGCGTGTGGCCACCCCGGAATCCATGAAATCGCCCTCCGCTCTCGAGTCAATCAATGCCGAAACCTGATAAGCAAGCCCCATTGAACAGTAACGAGGCTTGGAACTCACAACGACCACCAGAGGGCAGTTGAGTACTAGTGACGCTCACTGTACGTGCTCCCTTGAGCAGTGAGCACCGTCTGGCTGCCGGGAAGCTGCCACGTGACCTGCTTCCCCGCAGTAGAGACATAGTTGGTTATCCAGGCGATAATGTCGCTCTCTTACAGTCAACCGTGCTCTCCCGACCTGCATCGGCTCCTCCTCGGGGAAAATGAGATGTTGGGGATGCATGTCACTCGCCGCTCCTGACGCGGCTCTAGTGACGGGTTCAGGGGGAAACACGCTCCTCCGATGGCGAGAACAGAGGGAAATCCGGTTATCCACTTGGATGGCGAGGTCGATGAGCCCATCCAGGCTCGAGGGTAATTCGAGGGAATAGATTTAATCCGTAATATGCTCGGTCAGACTGTGGAGAATGTGGTCCCAGAGAGCTTTGTCGTTCCAGCTACAGGAAGCCGTGAGCGTGCGAAACTCGATCGAGTAACTGGATACTGACTGTTCTCCCTGCCATAGCAGCGACAAGGCTCGTGCCGCCTCAGTACCTTGAGCCGAGCGATCAAACACCTTGTATAGTTCCTCCGAGAAATTCTCAAAAGAGGAGCAGCAGTTCAGCTTGTTATCCCACATGGCCGCGTGACGGGCACTAGCTCCATCGGGATCGGGAGGAGGGGTTACCACCTGAGCCGCAGGAGGGCTGGTGTGCAGCTGATCAAGCCGTACTGCCAGCTGGTTAAGCTGGAGAGAGATCTCGGTGTAAGCGCGGCGAGAAGCTGCGATTTCCTTTTGTTGCCGACCCAGAAGGGCGCCCTGCTGCATAAGGGCTCGTTGCACCTCATTCTCCTCTGCTGTGTCCATGATAACTGGTGAGTAGATTCTGTGATGGGACGAGGTGAACAGAGGACTCAAATGCAGAGGATTAGATGCAAACAGAGTTTTATTCTCAAAAAGGTGAACAAAAATAAAGCTGTAACCAAAACAGTGAGCAAGTCTCTGGAGTAATCCAGCTTCGATCGGCAGAGGGATGCGGACCAAACAAACTGATTACTTCCCAAGACCCAGTGCTCGCACAGGACCAGCAACCTGAGAGTAGAGCGAGGCACAGGGCGGTAGTTCTTCGTTCTACGCATCCTGGGGTACAGGTAAATACAGAGATCAGAGCAAAGCAGAGCACAGAACATCAAAAGCATCGAACACAAAACAATCTACTCACAACAAAGACTAGACAGAAGAGAAATATAAAGGAAAGGGTAATAAGCTACAGGTGGAGTAGAAGCAGCTCATGATCTGCGCAGCCCCACCGCCAGATCAGCGCTGATTGCACCGGTCACGAGCTGCTGAAAAAGACATGACAACATAGACAGCAGAGGGAGCCAGGAAGGCACCCTGATCCGTGACAATTTACAGTTCAGATACAAGTTTTCACAAAAACAAAAGTCAGAACAAAAGGCAGAAGGTCTGGGAACCTTCACCACTCTGAATGGCCAAGGCCTGCCCAAGAGGCCATATGACTGACAGGTAAAGCAACCAATCACATTTCGTTTTGTGCCGTGTCATGTTTAGGGGCGTGAAAATGTCCCCACAATAACAGACCGGTGTGAATATCTCTTCTTCTTAGTGTATTAATTGTTTAGATTTGTATAACGCATTAGCTTCTTGTCAATCCACCGGTTGACATGTACAACACTGCATGTTTGCAAATATTTGTTGATTTTCGCTTTGGTCTGAACAAAAACAGAAGAAAGGCTTACTGAAAATACAAATTCATTCTCTACCAGCAGGTGGCGCTTTTGGAACAGAAGCAATATAGTGGTTTCTACGGTAACCACTGTACATAATGTACACATGACTTTGCAAAATGCAGAGCTCATGTTTATTCAGTGAAATCATAGCCTTTTGAAGTTTGTCACATTAAGCTATATCTGTCGCGGGTCTACTGTGTCGGAGCATGGAGTCGAAGGAGATTTAACTTCAAAATGTTTAATTAACTCAATAGCAGGGAACACAGGGCAGGCATGAGACACACGTAGCACACACCATGGAAGTACCAAATGACGTTAACACTGGCCGCCCCCCAAAAAAAATTTTCTTGGGAACAGAAGCCCTCACTGGGCCACACTCGGGGACAGGAGCCATCCCTGGGCCGCACTCGGGAACAGAAGCCCTCTCTGGGCCGGACTCAGGAACAGAAGCCCGCTCTGGGCCGGACTCGGGAACAGAAGCCCTCTCTGGGTCGAATTCGGGAACAGAAGCCCTCTCTGGGCCGGACTTGGGAACAGACGCCCTCTCTGGGCCGGACTCGGGAGCAGAAGCCCTCTCTGGGCCAGACTCGGGAACTGAAGCCCTCTCTGGGCCGGACTCGGGAACAGGAGCCCTCTCTGGGCTGAACGTGGGAGCAGAA